TGCAAAACCTCAAGCGTTCACCTGTACTCGTAGCAGTTATGCTTTGCGGTTTCAGACATGACTCTCAGCTCGAACGGCGTCGACGGTTGTGTGTGCTTGTAACCGGAAGGGGCCAAGGCTCCGGACGTGCTGACCCCCTTCCTTTCCTCCTGATTGCTTGCTCGCATATGTGTATCTTGTCCATAGGGGGAACACAGCAATTTGTTAATGTGTGTCAAAATTGAGCTGTTTCCCCCCGGGTGATCACTCCCCGAATTTTGCATGGCAAAGAAACAAGCTCAACCCCCTCCTCTTCTTATTTCAGAGGTGTTTGGGGTACTTGGATACAAGATCCGATCTGGAGAGTATGTGTGTGTGGGGGGGTATGCTATTGGGGGTTCAAGTGCGAGGCCCCTCGAGAGAGAGCAGGCACATATGTTCAGCCTATGTTCATCTTTCTTGTGTAATATGATGGAAGGAGCACGGTGCGTGATATTCAAGGTTCATGTCATCTGCATCGGTCCTGGGTTAACTTAGTCCCCAGGCATACTTCATACACCGTGGGTGGGCACGGTAGCCTCCGTGGGAAGGCACAGGGACCTCAAACACGATTAATCGCTAAAACATCGACCGATGGCGGATGTGCAAAATGGTACGGAAAGGGCAGCAGCTGCGGAGAGGGCAGCAACAGCTCAACAGCGGAAAGGGCTGCCAAAGAGGTTCGAACTTGTGCGGAAGGGAGCAAAACATCAAACAACGATGGATAGGATCGCGGCGTTGGAGAAGAGGTGAAAAGCTCGGAAGGCAGCTGGAAGTACAGCCGGTTCGGCGGCAGGGGGAGCGTATACCGGAGGAAGGTCCGGGAGATTAGACATGGGCGGAAGGGCCCACGCAATTTATGATCGAGAGGAAGCGGAGAGAAAGCCGCCGGTCTACGACGGCAACTTCGTCTTCTTCCGCCACTGATGTTCGAGATTTTCATTGCCGGCGAGGGTCTGACCTACACACTGCAGAGATCGGACAACTCCGTGGTTTTGATTCATGGCCCTCCCCGTAGCGTGCTGGTGGAGACGTACGGGTCAAAGCTTGTAGATGAAAACGAGCGAGCTCTTGGTCACCTGGTAGAGGCAACAGAAGGTGAGAAATTTCGGACGAGGATTCCTTCGGCTGGGTCGGTAGAAGGAGCTTGGCGTGAGGCGCACCGTTGCTGCTTGCCGACGAGCGACGCTGGGAAGGAGGCTCTCAAGTGGTCACTTTCCAGCCTGAAGATCGTGTGGGCCAGCACCCTCTCGACTACTATATCGCTTTCGACGAAATCTTGGCCACTCCGCGTGCTGTGGACGTATGCATACCAGAGGGAGAGATTGTCGCGAAGTTGCGGCGCAATTTGTCCTCTGATTTCGACGCGGAGAAACGGTCTATGCTGATGAACCCGGGGATGTGTGGCAGATTTTGTGGGTTTCTCCAGCTCTGAACTCATTCGTTTTGCTTTGAGGCAACGAGTAGCACGTGATGGGCGACCAGACTAACTTGCGGTAGGATCTGTTGCAGCAAGCTGAAGACCGCAAGAGGACCGGCGAGAAGACCAACCTTGCCGACTCCACGCTGCCGGCACCAGTGTCTGTAGTGGTCTGTGGCGTGCTCGAGCGGCATGAAGACGACGATACAACAGAGACCGCCAGGGAAAGGGTGGCGGAGTGTCTAAAAACAGCGTCTCATACGTCGTCGGCAGCAACATTGCTTCCACGAGCGTGATTCATGTCGGAGGAGAGCAGGAAACGGGTGTGGGTATTTTTTGTTGATGTCATCCACTTCGGTGTTGAACGACAGCTTGAATAGTTGGTTGTTTAATATGCCAAGGGGAGAGAGCCTTCTCGTCGGTATAGTTCTTCCTCACAGCATACAGAACGCGCCCACACTCTATTAATAGCTTCGGCCGAGGCTGGGGTTGTTACTGTATTCCTAGGGTCATGCTACGAACGGTCGCTATTAGGTTTGTTGCGGTGGTTCTTCACCAAGCTTGCAAATGGTGCTCAAATTCTTAACTCCTGGTTTCTTAAAGTGGGGGCGCGTTCTGTAGATAGTATTGTTCGTTCGTTTCAACGGGCATTTCGGAAAAGAAGAGAGTAATACTGAGCTTCTTGCGTGCGACAGCCTTTTCCGACACACCACAGACCTCACACTGTTTGTGTTGGCCCTATTTTTGTTTGGTTAGTGAAGCACTGTTAACACTTGCGTTGCAATTAGTTTTCAAACTAGCGACAGACTGCTTACGTCAGTTCACTGACGGAGGTGCTTGCTGTGTTTTCACCGTTGTTCACTGTCACGTTCGCGTCATTGGTGTGCAGGAGGGGGGGCGGCAAGACAAATGGGGCAGGCACCAACAGGTTGCGCTAGATATATAGAAGCCGAAATCAAACCATTAGAGTAGTCAGCGGCTGACTAGTCTAATGGTTTGATTCGGCTTCGACAAAAGTTAGTCGTGGGGACCGTGAGCTCCGTCACTTTCACTTCCGAGGAGGGTGACTCCCCTTGCCAGCGCCACTATCCATCCAATCTTAGTCTTTGGTTCGCTCCATATCACTCGCCACCCACATCCTGCAGAATGTTCCAGGGTCCACGAGTCCTTCCGTCACCCATACTCTGGCCGAGAGTATCCAGGGCCCCAGAAAAAAAAACACTTCAGAGTGTCCAGCCTGGGTCTCGAACCCACGAATGACTTTGTGAAAGCCAACGTCGAATGTGTCTAGTCTCATGGTTTACAATCAAACCTGACTAGTCGCAAGGTTTGATTTCGGCTTCTTTAGATACGTGGGTGCGAGCGTGCTGGCACCATAATGTGCTACGTGCGGAAAGATAGGATTATGCCTGTGGGTATTCGTGCAGAGGAACAAGTGGAGGTAGTTGCACAGGAGTTGGCACACGGGGGGTGGAACGGGTATTGAAGTCGATTAGCCAGGCGAACGGTCTTCAATATGGTATTAGCTTCTATGCATACTTTTCTGCTTTGTGGTCAACGTGCAGCTCGCGCACCAAGCTCGGCGGGTGCAGTCGAACTGATTCATTAGACAATTGTCCATTTTTTGGTAAGCGAACAGCCCGTCAGCACACCTCCGCCGCCAATGGAACCAAGAATATTAGACATGCACGGCTGCTGGGACAGGAAAAACATCCTCGCACAAGGTGAACGCCGACTACCGCACTTCAACCCCAAGTCCAAGTCACACAACAAAGATGGTCTACAGTAGTAGACTGCCATGTATTATGAGCATCACAAAGGGCAAGTACGCTGCGAAGTAATGAAATGCGTCTCGAATATTTCCGTTGATTTCGAATTCGCAAGGAAAACTCAAAACTTCCATAGCTCTGGGCGCCGTGTACTCCGGCATGCCCAAAAATCAAGCAGAGGAAACACAAGAAACAAGGGATGCCCTTCGCGCTGAGAAAAAGGCGCGAAGGAAAACGGAGATACACGAATCGTAGCAAAATAATCACGTTTGTCGGAGGCGCGTTGGTATATATACATGCTATTGAATTATTATCGGATAGACAGAACAGTGGTCTGTCCATGGTTGGAAGAGTCCCCACGACAACATGGCCACTATCTACCCGAACTGCGTGTATCCCTATATCCATTCCCCAGACCAGTATCTTCGCCAAGTTCCACAAACCAAACATTTCTGGTACTTCGTACTTCTATGTTTTTAAGCGCAGCCGAACGCACACAAACCAAAAACACCCACATGTGCTGGTACGACAGCATGTACTCCCGTAAAAACAAAACAAACACCATGCGAGCGCCTCCTATTGAACACTTCCAATCTTCCCCCCCCAAAAAACAGAAAAATAATGCGCACCCGTTTACGCCTGAAGCAGTTGCTGAAACCTTTGGAACAATCGACAGAACATTCTGCCAACGAATCGCACCCTGGTCTCGTAGGTGTTGCCGAGAACTGCAGATGTAGAAGCACCCGTCTCGCTTCGCGCGCTACCTCCTCCGTGAGAGTATTTGCCGTCCCATCTCCTGCCAGATGGGCGTGAACTCGTCTTTCCTCCGGAACACCCTGCAGTTTGCCACAATATTGTACACCACGAAAGAATATAACGGTTTTCAAACTATGCCATCCGGAACAACTTGCATGTACATCTGTCAGAGGCATTTCTTGTGTCTTTGCCCGTGCCACCTAAAGTAGATCCCCTCCACCAGTCTCCGATAGGACAAGCTGGATCACGTGTGAAACACCAAACATACAAACCACATGCAATCAACATTTTAGTACTTCAAATCAGAACAGCGTCTGTCGGAGAAAAAAAAAGAGATGCGATAGGCAAGAGCCGCAGAGGGCGTCAATGTTCAAGCGAACTGAGGAGGGTGGTACTGAAAGGGGGAGAGGAGAGAGCTGTATCTCTGCCCGCCATAAATCATTTCCGTGCGTACGATGGAGAAATCCCTGAGGTTGCCCTTCGACGCGAGCATGGTCTACCGTGCCGAGGGCGAGCAAAGGGTTGTTTGCTGCGGTCTACTTCCTCCACGCTTGCGGTGTTTAGATATGGAGACATCTTCTCAATATTTTAGTTCCCGAGTATGGAAGCCCAAGAGCAAGATGCCGACTGCCTGCCATGTTTCACCCAAAACATGCAATTAACATATACATTGAACGAATCCTGCCGTACTTGTCGGGCTTCGGTTCCAGCAAGAACCAAACAGCCCGTCGGGAGCACCTTGCGAGTCTTTTCTGGGCAGGTCTCACCTTTCCTTGAGCCAAAGCAAAAGTGTAGTGGGCAGCAGACCTTACACCTACTTGCCATGGCATGTGTTGTGTTTGGGAGTGTTTGGTCGGCAGGGCAGGTATTGCTTTAACGCTGCTGCGGCAATGCACTCATGCAGCATGGGGCTTGCGGTCACTCCTGGTTGCCGCGAATGGCGGACAACTCCGAGAGCAAGCTGCCCTAAACCTGCGTGCACCCGAACGTGTCAACCCAATCACGACGATCTTTTGTACTACAGTATACTGTCGTACCTCAATGAGCTCCATCTCGTGCAAGGACTGAAACACTCTTCAGTAGTATCTATAATAGCTTCCATCTTCGCCGGGGTAGTCCTGTTCTGAGTAGGACTCGCCTCTCGGTGTCCCATTGAAGTGTGCAGACGCGTCCGCTGCAGAAATTTCCGGAAGGGTACAGTACAGCGGTCAGGATTTAACGCAAGCTAAATTTCCCCGGGATGTTGGGTGCAAGCCTTATCTTGGGTATCTACAGAACGACCAGGCGAGGCTTGGCGGACCCCTTTCTTTACGTACCTCGCGGTTCCATCGCTTCTATGTTGGTCAGCGTATAGCCGACTGTGCACCTCTTCTCGCCCGTCATGATGGCGGGAAACACAATGGTGCACTCTTGCCCCGGGCGAACGCCCCCGCCGCCCACGTCGGAGTGAAGTTCAGGGTCGAACTGCTGTACCTTGCCACAGTCTGTGGTGCTGAAGGTGACCGGGGGGTATTGTAGGCGCACGTTAGCCATAACCACCATGTACTGGAGCGCCACCGAATCTAGACCGCTGCCAGTGACAAGCCACTGAATGTCGTCGGGGTCAAAGGAGTGATCGGCAAGATAGCTACGAACCCCCCGGAGGATACGTTGGATGGCCACGTTGCAGTCCTCCCTTGGCATCAGGTGAAATAGATCCTTGTGGTGGTTGCACATGTTTTCGTGCATCTTCATTTTGTCCACCACTCGCAGAACGTCCTCGACGACGCGGTAACGCGTTTCGACCTCGTCGGAGCATTCCCAAAACAGCCGCGGCAACACTGCTTGCGGAGTGATACCGCCACCCGCTCTGCTGCCACCCGTTTTGTCTCCCCATTCGTTCACCCTCGCGATCCACTCGTTCAGCGAATCATCCATCACGTTCGCTGTCACTTCTTTCAGCTTCTCCAAATTGAAGATTGGTTGATCGAGGTCCACGGCATCATGACCTGGATTGTTTAACCTCGCGACCATCGCCCCGGAGAGCTCCCGGTCGACTTCTTCTTTATATTCTTGAAGGAGTCGCACCGCTTTCTTTTTCTTCCCGCAAATCCGAAGGAGTGCCATCGCTTCTGCGAATTTGGCTTCCCGTCGATCTCCAGGAAGCAACGTGTCGCTCGCTGGGGCCCGAGTCGTGCTCGAAGTCGCATGATCTTGCCGATGCCCAGGCAGCGCCGTGTCGCCTGCTGGGGCACGAGCCGTGCTCGAAGTCGCGTGGGCTTCTTGTTCATGTCCAGACAGCGCCATGTCGCTTGCTTGACCGCGAGTCGTGGTCGCAATCGCGGGGGGGGCTTCTTGTTCAGAGCGTGCCGCATCGCTTGCCGGGGCGCGAGTGGTGCTCGTATTCACCTTGGCTTCATCTTCTCGACGATGCCCACATAGAACACGCAGCCGGTTGATGGTTGTCGAGAAGAGGCGTGGCATCGGTTCTTCAACTGCAACGGCTTCTCGTTGAGCTGCAGGCAGTGCCGCATCGCTCGCTGGGGCACGAGCCGTGCTCAGAGTCGTCGCGTTTTGATGGCGCCTGCGCTCTGGCGTATCGCTCGCTCGGACACGAGGCGTGCTTTCCTTGGCTACTTGTTGATGACGTCCAGACGGCGCCATTTCACTCGCCTGGGCGCGAGTCGTGCTCGCAGTCGCGTTGGTTTCTTGCTGTCCAGCCAGTGCCGCATCGCTCGCAGGGGCGCGAGCCGTGCTCGGAGTCGCCTTGGTTGCTTTTCGATTATCGCTCGCTGGGGCACGATGCGTGCTGTCCTTGGCTACTTGTTGATGACGTCCAGATGGAGCCATCTCGCTCGCCGGGGCGCGAGTCGTGCTCGCAGTCGCGTTGGCTTCCTGTCGATGACGTCCACGCAGCGGCATGTCGCTCGCCGGGCCGGGAACCTGCCTCCCAGTCACGTTGCCCATTGTTGCCCGTCGTGGTTTGTTGCGTGAAACCAAGCGCGCGCGCACGCACGTGCAGGGTGTCATGTCGGCTATCGTCGAGTTGCGTTTTTGGCAGCGGTCCGCATTGGTACGCATTGGTCCGCACAATAACGGGAGGAACAGGCTGAAGAACAGGCTGAAGTAAGAAACAAGCAATTTTTTGTTTTCGCCGCGCACAGAATCAGAGGAAAGCGCAGCGGAGAGGAGCAAGAGAGAGAGGAGGGGGACAGGAAAGGAGGAGAAGAGCGACAAGGGAGGAGTAGAAAGTAAGTGTGCGGTGTGCGAGGAAGGAGGCGGTTCGGTGTCGGTCCGAATTCCGGAGCTGTCATTCCCGTGAAAATGGGATGCTCACAGAGCACAAAGAGCGACGTAGTGAGCACGATGGAGCCTGACAACGGATCGCTGTCCGATAATCGGATTGAGCGGAAAGGAGAGCAGGTACGAGGCGTGCGCACGTTTTTTCTTGACTGTATGTTACCATCGACTAGATTAGCATGCGACCGCGGTCAAGCGTGAAAGAGTTGCACAGCGACGGAAAGACGTTGTATGCCGTGTCGACACAAGCACCGACAGCAGACAGTAAGAGCTAGCAGCGCGTGTTTGATCGTCACGAAGCGGGACATGTTTTGCCGTGTCGGCAACAAGCACTGACAGCAGACAGCAAAATAAAAAGCATTTGCTACGCGTGTTTGACCGTCACGAAGCGGGCATAGCAGTAACCCGTAGCCCGTAAGCCCGTAGCTATTATTGCTGTGTCGTGTCGGAGTTCCCTCATGTGTGCTGTACCTAGAGTCTTGTGGTGTCAAGTACACACGTACGTTCGGGAAAGACGAAGTACGGCGGCAGCATACATACGCTGCAGTTGGTGCACGATGTGTAGGTTTTCTCCCAACCCTCCGGTCAGCGATGGCAAACGAAGCGGTCTTATCGTTAAATTAGCCTGGTGGTGTGGTTGGGTCGATGGAGTGGTAGCGACATAACCTCAACCACACACATGCAGGTGGTCAAGAGTTGCCATGTCCATTATTAGATTGGGGGTTAATGAGCTGCAGGTGACGACTCAATACCTTCCAAGCCAGCAATGCGGCCAATCCCGCTACATATCCCCGCGCCCGCGCACTTCATTTTTTTGCTTGCGGAATTATATCCGAACGGATCTTCCAAGACGTTATTCTAAAGACATCGGTCCTCAGACGGAAGAGTAAGTTTTACGGCCGTATTCCGCATGCCAAGGGATGATCGCGAGACCCACCCATGCGGTGGCGTCGGCGTTGGCAGACATGATCATGTAGTGAAAAGGTGTTGGGATGGCGGCAGGAGCCGTTGAGACACTGATTTTGAAACTCAATGAACAGACTATTGAAGCAAACAGATGACCGAGGTCGAAGTCCACAGGTGCGGGGAAAAGAACACGACGCGGCGTAAACAGCCGGGAAATTGAACATCAAAGCCTGGAGACCGAATAGCTGGGAAAAGGACGGCAACTTGCAGGAAAGAGCCGGATTTGGCAATCAACTACCAAAAATGGCAATCAACTAAACATATGTCGCGAGGGAAGGGATTGCTGCACCATTCTCGAGATAAAAATATCTCAGGCAGGAACCGCAGGAGGGGGTCCAACCCCCCCCTCCTGTGTGACCCCGGTTGGGTCGTCTAGCTAGTAGAAGTGGAGGATGGGGGCCAGAGGGGCAGACGACAGAGTCGAATGATGGGACAAAAAAAAAAATGTTCTTCGGATTTCCAAACCAGGCACAGGAAAACGAACGAACATGGTTGCACAGAGGGTGATCGTATCTTCTCGAAAAGAGCCATTTTGGCAATCCACTACCAAAAATTGGCAATCAACTACCTAGAAGTTGTTGTGGACATTTTATATGCCATACATACCTTTTGACGTGTAGACGACAAGTCCGGGCTCGCAAAGAATTGACGACGTCGAACACCGGTCGAAGCTCAGTTTCATATTTCGTCCCCATCGTCGAGTACAACATAGGCGATGGCATTTGGCATTATGGTTGGTGTAGGATCCCCGGCTGAGCGCGTTTACATAGTCTCATGCACAGTAGGACCCCCGGCTCAAATTATTGGTCGATAACAATAGCCCTTAAGTCCGGGTGTAAGCTATGTTTTCACGCACAGGGACAGATGACTTTTGGTTCGGCGTGTAGTGTGTGTGTGTGTGTTGACCTACTCCTGCGCGTGTATGCACAACAAGCTGCTTTAGATGCTATCTGCTCTGACTGACTGCTGCCTTTGAGGAGAAGGCTTCCCGACTGGAGATAGATACCTACGTCGCGCACGTGTACCGTGGATATATATTATATGCTATACACCTAACTAACGAAAGTACAGACAGCCAACCGCGGGGCCCTTCAACTCATTTGAGCTCTGTTGGACGTCGGGGTTGTGATCCCTGTCATCACCGCTGCCCCATGCGGTTCGTCGACTTACAGGCGGGAAGAATATGGTTCTCACCTACTTGTGGACGCCTGGAACGTAGACTACCCGTCTTTTTCAAGCGTGCATCCTAGACTGTTTTCTCGGAAAGAATGCGTCACAGAATAAATGATGGTCCCAGAGGATATCAAGGACCCCGGTTGAACATATTTGTTACAGATGTACAGGATATATAATATCCATCAGATACATGTGGAGAGGAACGGTCAATAACGAAACAAACAGCAGCAGCGGCAGTAGTAATAAATAGTAGGAGGAGGGCAGATAAGAAATAACGTTCAAGAATGAATGTGCCCACTTCTACGGCTGCTGCTGCTGCTGCTGCTGCTTTGAGTATGATGTGTTATTTGGATCCGACCGACCGTTAGGTAGAGATAGACCAAGATGATGCCACATACTCCATCCATAATACATACATTCACATACATACATATACACCGACCTGCCCACTTTGTATCTCGCGTTCATCATGCGTTCATGCACAGACAGACATACATACATACATACATACTATATATATATATCGACTCTACGGAACGTTCTTTATTTATTTTTATTTTTATTTTCTTAATATGACACAACTAATCCATCTCATCATAGAAAAGAGTCTGAGACAGATTAGCAATGAATTCATAGCGTCAGAAAGTACCTGTATGTCTACGGTTTCCCAGACAGCATCATACAAGGACATCTCCCCTGCGGGTAACAGGCTCAACAAGACAGTTTGGTAGCTGTCTTGTGTATTGTATGCTTTACGAAAAAGCTACATGTATGTGACGTTTCATATATATATATATATATTACTTCGCACGAAGAACGTAACATACATACATATGCATGCATATGAGGGAAGAGAGAGTGCTGAACTCTTCTCGCATTAAAAATTGAAGGCGAAGTACCGCAGGAGGGGAGGGTAGAGAGAGGCTCTTCTGTGTGACCACGGGTTGGAATAAACGGCACTAGTGCTGTGAGCGCTGATTTGAAGTGAAGAACAAAAGAAAAAAAAATATATATATATATGATACATCTTTATACAATAATCATGACAATTTATTTTTTTGTCTTAATTTGACCCAACAACGAATCCATCTCTCTTTATCATCGAAGAAATGAATTCATAGCATCTCAGCATTGCTAATATTGTATCTTCTAGAGGTAATATTTATTTCCGATGGAGGAAGAGGTGGTTTTGTGAGCGTTTATTTCCGATGGAGGAGATGGTCGAACTGATGTATGTGCAGAAATAATAAAAATGAAGAATTTGTCCGTCCGTGCGTGTGATAGAGCAGACGTTGGGTTGGGCCGTGCACCGCGTATGTACGGGGGGGGAAGTGGCAGAACTATCGTACGTTCAAGTTCAATAGATGAAAACCCTTTGTTTCACTACTAAAATAAAAAGAACCTAATTTTTATTCTGCGAAACTCAAGTAAGTTCCGAAACATGGTATTTAGGTACACGTCCAGCCGACAACGTGCCGCAAATGATTGACAGCATCGAGCATAGAGAGAGGCACAGTACAAGTCAGCCGTACTTGTGGACCTGCGCAAGCCAATGAGATGCAACGCGGGCTTGGTAGCACGCACGTATCCACCGCGCTATTGAGCAGCACGCACAGCAAAACCGATCATTTTCCTGTGATACACGCACGCACGGTTAACCACGCGCGACAGCATGATAACAAAGGCCGACACGCGTGGCATTATTGATTGACAGCATGGAATACAGACGCGCAGCACGCGTCGGCCGGTGTTGTAGACCTACCTCGCAGCTTTTGTAGCATGTAGCCACACCACGCTGTTTTACGCAGCAAGCAGCAAAACGCACAGCGACAGACAACATCACATACAACAACATCAGCTCATTTTTCCCTGTCTGTGGTGAAACACACACGTACGTTCAGCCACGCGCAAGCCAAAACCGCATGATAAAGGCCGACACTGATTGGATAGCACACTCGGTCGCTCCGTCGCCCCGGTGGTCTTGTTGGTGTCCTCGAGACCTTCTAGAGGTCAGGTCAGGGGTTCGAATCCCGGCGTAAAGCGGGCTTTTCTTGCAAAGTGAGTTTTTTTCTCGCTTCCGCTTCTGGCCCAGTGGATAGCGCTAGTTCGTGTGTACACAGAGAGAGGGAAGAGAGTGGTGAACTCTTCTCGCATTAAAAATCGAAGGCAAAGTACCGCAGGAGGGGAGGGTAGAGAGAGGCTCTTCTGTGTGACCATGGGTTGGAGTAAACGGCACTAGTGCTGTGAGCGCTGATTTGAAGTGGAGACAAAAAAAAAAAATTGAATAGACGCGCAGCACACGTGGGCCGTACTTGCAGATCTACGGCAAGCCATCAGCTTTGGACGCACGTGTATTCATATCTACACAGTACCACGCTTGATGCAGCACACAGCAGCACCGCAGTAAGCGACAGCGACGTTTTCCTCTTCGCGTAATAACTCTCCACATGACGAGAGAAAGCACTCCATCACAACGAAAGAATGGGGAGTTGCGGCCGCCGTCGTGCGTCCAGCACACCAATCTG